CCTATATTAATTTTTACTTCTTGTAATGGGGGATGTATTGAAGTTAATAATTGATCATCTTTTAATTTCATTTTTTATATAAATTAGTTTGAACATTTATTTGTGGTGTATTATAAACATCATTTATTCCTATTTTTGAAATATAGAATGATACCAAGTAAAGAAAAGAAAAAAAATTTTCTTTTTTCTAATTCATCTTTCCATTCTAATATTAATTTTTCTTTATATTCTGATTCTAATTGAAAAAACAAAATTCTTTTTTCAGTATTTTCTTCATCAAAATCTTCTTGTAAATATTTATGATTTATTTATAACATTTATTTCTCCTTTCATTTGTGAATGAGTTGGGAATATTCTGATCGATTTTGATTTATGACTTCTAACAGGAGTTTTATATTTAAAAGTTGAAGTACTTTCTAAAGGAAATTATTTCAGTTGATTCATAATTAGAATGTCTCGGTGGTAACCAAGAATAAGTTGAATTAGGTCTTTCTCTTAATGATGAAAATCTTATTAGAGTTTTGCCATCAGGTTTTTCTATAATATCTTCTACTTCAGTTTGTTCTATATTTCTAGCTATTTGTGGATTTTGTATTTCAAATTCATTAGGTATAGTAATTTCATTCCATTTTAACTTTTTGGAGTATAAGTTGTAGGTCTGTCAGCATCTACTTGTAATAAAGTTGTTTCTTCTTTAAGAGTTGGAGTCATTATAAATTTAGGATTTAAATGTGATGATAAGGTCTATAATATATTCTGTATATTACTGCAAAATTCTTTGTATGTTTTTCAAATTCATTTCCTTGTAAATGAATATCTAATATGACTGAATTCAAAATATGTGGGTCTGTTAGATCTATTGAAAAATTTGGAGCACAGTTAAAATATATGGGTCCATTACAAACATTTGTTTGAATCATAGAAAGTAAAGAAGTTTTATATCGTTTGAGTCTAGTGTCTCTTAATGCTAAATATATTGGAGCATCGACTCCTAGATAGAATAAAGGTTTTACCGCAATTTGTATTAAACCTATATGAATATATCAATATCCTTTACTTAAATATTTTTGAATTGTACTATGATTTAATAATGGAATAGATTGATATTCTTCTTAAATAGATATTGTTTCTTCATGTGTTTTAACTGATAAAGCTGTTTTGAAATCTAAAGGGTCTATTCTATAAATATGTTCTATTTTTTCTTCTGGAATAGTCCAATCTGAATTATTAACAGGCATATGATATTCATGACTTTGTACTATATTATCTTGCTTTGAATTAGATCCTATTTTTAATTGTCTAAGAAATGCAGCCATGTTGTATATTTTAATTAAAGTTTTACCTAATCAGGAACAGCTGAGCGCTATGCCGGGAACATCCTACCCTGAACTTACCAATGGTCTCACAAGGCATCAAAATCTTACCAATGATTTCAGTAAAAGTTTAACAAAATACGTAGACATAAATGCATGAATTAGCCAAAACAAAATAGAAACTTAATTCAAACAGAGTAATAGTAGTTCAAAATCTTAAATATGCATTTGCATGTATAATTCTATGTGGCTCTGATACCACTTCAACAACTATGCCAACAACTCCAATAAAGAAAGAAAAAGAAAAAGTTGTCAATATGGTATCCGAAACCATTACAAACGACTTTTTGATGAAAAAGATGATGCAGGACCCAAAGATGCTCAAAGAATATTTGGACTATTTACAAAAGCAGGATAAGAATGAAGAAACTGACAAAATTGAGGAGTCAGCAGGATCATCCGAATCTACTTTTGATCCTTTCGGAGGACCATGCGGACAAGATCCAAATGACTTTTGAAAGAGATGTCAGCCACATTCCAAAGAAAAAGCAAATGAAACTCAAATGAAGATGAAATGCAAGCTCGAAGAACTCTATAAATAGATTCAACATCAGAAGAAGAAGCATAGAGAGAAAATCGGTGAAATCCTCCGGTGTAAACCTCTTAGAAAATCCCTTACCCACTCTCAACTACTCTCAAACCACTCTCAAACTACTCCCAACTACTCTTGTACTCATACTCTTGTATCATTCTCCAAAGATTTTAATAAGAAGATCAAAGTTGGATTCAACAAATATCAAGCTTCCGTTAGTAACTTTAATTCTTGTAAGTTCAAGCTTAATACCAATATTTTATGTTCATTTCAAGTTATAGTAACCTGGGTAGAAGTGATCAGAGCCAGAAAATCGGGAATTTTTCTTCAATTCCTTAGGACGTTCGGTAGGCTGGTTTTCTGCGTCCGAAAATACTCAATGGTTGTCGGCGTCCGATGCAGTCTTTTTGAGCGTCCGACAACTTTCAGCAACCTTTGTTTTCTTTCAATTGCACTTGTTTCATGGAATCAAATAACTTCATAACTGAAAGTATATCTTGAAGAGATATTACTATCATCCATTTGTTTTGTAAACATCAAAAGATAGGGATCAAGATCAACATTTAAAATTTAAACTACTTGATAATTATTAGTACAAATCATGGCCATAAATTTTTGAAGTATTATTTGTATAGTTTTAGTCTTTATTTTCATTAATACAAAATAAAAGTCTAGTGCCTTCTTATATATGAGACAATGCCGTATAAATCTCAATGTACAGGACTTTCTTTATAATCAAGGATGTTATGGCATTACAAAATATAATTATTATTTTGAACAAACAAATTAGTAGTTATTTTATTAATTTTTATCCTAGAGATTAAGACATAGATTTTTTTTTTTTTGGCTAACCTCGCACACGAGGGGGACGCCACTCCCAAATTTATTCAGAAACAAATACAAGAGATGTAGTTTCGGTTCTAAGTGTTTGCCAGAAGGGCTAAGACAACCGTACATAAGGGATTCGCATCTTATCTAGGCGGGCTAGCCCCTGTATGTAGTCCGGGAGGGCGAAGGCCCCAAAGCTTTGACCAATACCCGTGGAACTTGCTAGATTTGGCCAGGGCGTCAGCCACCCCGTTTGCCTCACGATAGACATGAGAGAAAGTAATCGCGCGGCCAGCGCAAGGCTTGGATGCGTGATATAGTCCTCCATAGCGTCCAAGGTACGCGTCCATTGCCATTCACCATAGCCATCAGAACCTGAGAGTCCATCTCAACTTGCAGAGATTGAAAATCTGTGGAGAGCAACATACCCTCTAGTAATGCCGAGGCCTCCGCTTCCATGTTCGTCCTTAAACCCAAAAAATAGGAGAAACCACGGAGGACATTACCCCCCGAGTCACGAAACACACCTCCCGCACCAGAGGAGCCTGGATTCCTAGAGATGAGCCATCAACATTCAGCTTGACAAACTCCGGTGGTGATTCCAAAGGATCCAGCGTGGAGCCACCCTTAAGCGATGTCAGTCGAAGAAACAAGCCCGAGTGGACCAGCTCCCCGTCATCCTCCGCGTCACTCTGGAGAAAGGCCGGATCTGGATATAGTGTGCAGCAGCGTTTGAACATTCCAGCAAACCTGAGGTGGAGTTAAAACAACACCCTCAAAAACGCCATGTTCCTAGCTTTCCAAAGCTCGCCAACAGATTAGCGACGGCAACACCTTGCAAATCTTACCCCGTGCAGAGCCTGGAGGATGACAAAGCACCATTGCTGTAAACGGTAGTTAGTATCGGCCGTTGGCGACTGAGGAACCCACATGGCCCTGGCGAAAAAACTCCAAACCTGAGATGCTAAGACGCATTCCGATAAGACATGATCTTGAGACTCTCCATTCAAACAAAACGCGGCACTTTGAAGGGAGATGGAGGCCAAACCGCTGAAGGGCCTCTGGGAAAGGGAGGTACCGATTGAGTAGCTTCCACATAAAGACAGCAATCTTGCAAGGAGCACTGCCACTCCATACACACTTCCTAGAGCCAAGGCAAGCCCGTTTGGGCCGCAAGGCCGTCCCAAGCTGAAGAAATAGTGAAATCTCCAGAGGGTGTGAGGGTCCAAGCTGGCGCCGAACTCTGTCCTCTAAATCAATTAAGCGGGTGAATTGCGTCACCGTATCAGAAACGGCCAGCATTCGTCGCCAGACTGCTGGATGCTCCACGGAGTACCCCATTGTCCTCACTATAACGGGATCTCATGAATAGTGCCCACAAGGAGGACGAATGGCGGAATTGCCACCACAGTTTGCAGCTGAAAGCCCCTTGTATGTCTATAAAAGACGTATGCCAAGGCCATCTTCCTCCACTGGATAACACAGTTTTTTCCAGGAACGCCAATGGTGTTTAGGGCCGAGCTCCGTCTGACCCAGAAAAAATTTGCCATTAGTCGTTCCAGCTCCTTTAGCACTCCGGATGGCGGGTCCATGACGGCTAACACGTGCGTAGGTATGGCAGAAAGCACATGCTTAATAAGTATGAGTCGCCCCCCCTGGGAGAGGAGCTTTTTCTGCCAGCCCGCAAGTTTAGCAATAAATTTATCAATTAGGAATTGGAAGTATGCTTTTTTCTACGTCCTGTGTAGACACCAAATTTTTGTCAATTTTTAATATTTTTTCTAAATTTTTATCTATTTAATAAGTTATCTATTATTATTATTATTATTAATGTGTAATTTTCTCATTTTTGTAGGTTTATTTTAGAAAAAAAAAAAAGAAAAAAAACAACAACAACAAAAAAAGAGTTAAAAAAAATCAATCAAAAAAAAAATCAAAGAAAAAAATCAAAATCAAAAAATCAAAAATCAAATCAAATCAAAATCAAATTATTACAAAATGTTACACATTTTCATCATTTTTCCTACCAAAAAACACAACCCATTTACACTCAACTTTCTTGTCATCTGGTAAAAAAATAATCATTTTGACCAAAAACAACACAAGCTCCTCTTTTTCGCTCAAAAATCTGTTCTCTCGGCTCAGACGGGGAACAAGAAGCAAAAGCACAAAAATCTTCCTCACACTCGGCTCTCCTGGAAATCAGACAAGTAAAGAAAAAAAAAAACTAACTTCCCATTCCTCACACTGCTCACGGCTCCTTCTACCCATTTTTTTTTCCACAACCTCAAACACAGAAGGAAAGGCAGTGGTGGGTTGAGCTATTGGAGTTTGCCGATTTCATCAAATTCCTAGGCAAAGGACTACAACCTTCATTGAGGTCATTTTGTTTTCTTTTTTCCAGTTTTTCTTTCCCTAATTAATTAGATTAAATGCATGTTTTGATGCTTATTTGTCCTTTGCTTTCGTTTGTTGTTGTGGCTCCTGATGTTGTTTAAAGTTTTGGGGTGAGCCATGCATGCAATTAAGGGAAAAAGAAATGGGCCTGTGAATGCATGTTAAATGTTTGTGAAAATGACAAAACCAAAAATGAATTAAACTAGTGAACATTTTTGTGCTTGTTTCTGGTGAAATAGACGGTTGTAGTTAGTATGTGGTTTGAAAAGTGTTGAATTATTTAAGTATTTTGAAGTTTTGAGCCTTTAAAGGTATTGAAATTTTTCTTTATTTTTGGGGCTGTTTTGACTTAATGCATCATTTTGTTGTTATTTACTTGTCAAACTAAGATTATAGTTGTATTGTAGAAGTTTCAGGAGGGTTTTGCATAATTTTTATGATTTTTGGTGAAGATGTGAGGGTTTAAAAAAAATAAAACTGGACTGATTTCTTGGCATTTTGGCCACTTTAAGGTCAATTTTTATTAAAACTAAGCCCGGAAATGGATTCTACGCGAAAAATCGGTGAGGGGGTGTCTTTTGGTGAAATTCGTGACCGGAGAGGTCGCCGGCGACCACCGGCGACGGCGGTCGGCGGCGGCCGCGCCACCGGCAGCCACCATGGCTGCCAGCTGAAGCTTCTTCGGTTTGGCCGAAGAAGAAGGAAGGAAACGGATGGGGAGAGAAGGAAAAAGAAAGAAAAGAAAAGAAGAAAAGGGGGGGTTTGGGCTAGTGTTTTTTTTTAGGTGGGCCTGTGGTTATTTTGGTTGGGTTTGGGGAATGGACTTTTGTTTTATTTCTTTCGGGTTTGCGGTTGGGCTAGAAGGTCAGAGCCCATGCCTTTATTTTGGTTGGATCTGAGTGATATAAGACGGGCTGGCCTGCTCGTTTTCTTTGGGTTTCGGCTGGGGCTTAGGCAGTATTCGGCCCAAATAAATAAATAATGGCCCAGTGGCCTGTTTCTTAAGAAGATCTGCTAGCGAATTTGCACTTCAGTCCCTGATCTTTGGAGTAATTTTACTGTGGCGCCCAGAACATTTTAAATTCCTTTCACTTAGGAACTTAATTTAATTGCACTTTTGGTCTTGAATTTATCTTTCATTTAATTTTGACCCTTAAACTTTGGAAAAATATAACTTCTGTCCCTAAAAGTTTTCAATCTTTGCAATTCAGTCCCTGATGAATTTTGACTCTCTTTATTATGATTGTTTCTTTTCTTTAATAACTAATTATGTTATTTTTGAACATATTCAACTTGCAATTTTTAGATGTTCTTAAATTTTTTTGCGTTTGACATGTTAATGTGAATTTAGTATTTTAACATTATTATTATTTTCAATTAAAGTGGTGCCATGATTCTTTTGTTCATTGTGAGTATAAATAGGACAATTTGACTCCATTTAGTCACCACTTCAAACGGGAGGTACTCCTATTTTATTATTTCAATGTCAATTACGTGTTCTTATGTGCTCCTATTTGTTCCTATGTGTTTATATATTTTTATATGCTTTATTTACTTGATTTAAATATTCATTCAAATTTTCTTATATATGTTTTAGTTAATTTTTATAATGATTCAAGAGGCATTTAAATACCTCAAAAATGTAATAGATAGGATAATTAGATTTGTTTTTTATATTTTTCCCTTCTAGATTGTAGTTAGGCGCCCCCGATGTAATAGATAGATTGCGTGTTTATGTGGCTTATGTGTTATGTGTTTTGTCCGCTTTTCTTAGGATTTTGGCATCTAGATATTATGTTTACGTGTTATGTGCTACGTGCTCTTATGTGTTTATTTGTTTTAATTTATGTTTTATTTGTTTCGCTATGAATTGTTAATGCATGACGTCACCACACTAGTCCAACGCTAGTTGTGGTTTCTCCCTCCGCTTACTTGCTAGTCCAACGCTAGCAAGGATTTTTAGAAATGGGCTAGTCCAACGCTAGACCCTTTAGGTCATCTTGCGCTAGATTCATCATTGTATGCTATTCACCACATTTTCATGCATATTTTCATTTTTAGGATCTTTTCTCATTTGCATGATATTCCCTATTTTATTATCCCCTACCCGCTATAGGTGCTAATCATGTCATTTAGAATTGCATCCCATTTAAGCTAGTTCATTTGCTTGTTCATGTTAGGATAATTATTTTTCAAACATGGGAAATGGGTGATTATAACTTTCTAGTTTAAATACCCTATTAATCCATGTATAAGAAAATTATGTCACGAATTTTTTTGCCTTCCGTACCCTTTATGTTGCATTCCCTTTTTCTTTGATCACTTATATATATGTATATAATTTAATTTCTTTTCTTTTATTTTCTTTTCTTTTTCATCATTTGCATCCTTGTGACACCTTCGAGGATTTATTTTGACCTTCGCAATTAATGCGATTGGTTCAATTAAACCCTTGAATGAACATGTTGTCCCTTGCGATATTTTTTAGATTTGCATTCATATAGAAAACATCCAAATGTGATAAATTAAGGGTTAGATTAGGAAAATTTTGACTAAACCTCGCAACTAGCTTAGACTAGGTTGAAAGGGTGCCTTAGATTTGAGTTAATCGAATCTTTGCCTTCCCTTTCTTCAACCGTGACTCCCGATTTTCTCTTGTTTTCAAAGACCTGAAGTTGTCAAAAAGGGTTTTATTTTGTTTTACTTTATTTTTTTGGGTGACTTGGTACACCAAAACTCCATACCAAGTGGCGACTCCTGTTTTTTTCTTAAAAACCCTTTTAGACTAAATTTTGGACCCAAATTGTCGCATTCTTTTAAGTCCCATTCTAGGTCCCTTTTAACTTGTTTAAAAATAAAATCATATCTTTTATAAACCTCACACTTTATTTTTTTTCCATCGCGAAAAATGGGGCGCGACAACTTGGCGACTCCACTGGGGACGTTAGAGAGTCCAAGCACTTGGTTTAGTCGTCTTTTCTCTCTTTAACCCTTATATTTATCATATTTGGATGTTTTAGGTTGCATTTTTCTTTTTTAGGATGGCATTTCACACTCGTAATTGTTCCTCGTCTTACGTGTATGTGATGAATGATTTATTTATTTACTTTTGTTTCGCGCTTTGCATTTGGGGGTGGGGAATATTACCCTAGAGCCTCGCATTGGTTCTCGATCCTTCCCCTCCAAACAAGCACTAGCATACGTGCATACGTTTTATCTTTTGTCCCTCATTTATTTTTCTTTTAGTGGCTTGTCACGCCACTCTTCCCTGTTAGGATTAGGCGACCCACTTGGACGTGTGATCGCGACACGACGTGTGTAGCATGATCCGAGGGGTCACTCAATCTTCCATTTTAAGCTTTGGGTTGATGACCTTTAGCTTTTAGTCGAAGATTGAGGATTTTTGATAGATTCACTTGGACATGTGGCCGTGGCACGACGTGCGCGTAGCAATGTCTGGGGAATCGCTCGAGCCACCGACAAAGAACCTCGGGGTTGATGACCTTTGGTTTCCAAGTCTGAAGGCTCGGGGACCTAAAACCTATCGAGTCTAGATGCATTAGTGAGCCGATACCTCATGCATCCATGATAGTTTACCTAAGGTAGAATCTGTCTTACCCTATTAGTGACACTATTCACGAGGGGAGGGATCCAACCCCTCTTTTCCTTTTATTGCTTTCTCTCTTTGTATTGTTTTGCTACAATGTGTTGTGTATTTGTCTGATTGAACTAACTTTTCTTGGTTTTTGTCTCCATTGCATTCATAAGCCCTAGAAAATAAGAGTCCTGGCATGGTACTCTCTAAGAGCCTACCCTATGTGATATGACACGTTTAAATTCAATGTTTCGCATTTACAGCATGAATACATTTCATTTTAGGCTCACCCCGGCATACAAAAGGGGATTCTTTTAGGTCATGTTTCATTTGTATAATGCATATTTAGTCGCTTTGATAAATTGGCATCATGCATTAACCCTAGAGGGAATGCCGTTTAGGGAATCCCATTTTAGGAATATAATAACCTTGTTGTCCCTGGGTAACTAACCCTCTGTGGGATATTCATGTTTAAATCCTTGTAAAACTGGAGAAGTGAGGCCTGTAGGTAAGGTATTTAATCTACATTACATGCTTTAGATGGACAGGCCTCAACAAATCAGTCAGCTGTTAACAGTTCCAATGGAGGTTCGAAGATGGCCAGGGCTTCTTTCATTTAGTGAGATCAATCAGGTCGCCTCCTACCTTGGACCAATTGGGGATTTCAAAGACATTGAGTCAGATGGATATTTGGTAGAAGCTTTAATTCAATTGTGGGATCCCGATGGTTCAACATTTCGGATAGGAAGCAAGGAGTTGACTCCGACCATTGAAGAGGTAGCCGGTCTTCTGAATTTGTCAGTAAAGGGTACAGCAGTGATATTTCCGATTGCTTCTGGCAAGGTTGAATTCTGTCATTTTACTGGACTAAAAGAGTCTGTAGTGCGAGGATCAGATCAGAGCATAGATGTAAAATTTTTGTTTGACAGATTCGCAATGAAAGACGGGTTTGATAAGTATTCGAAGGATTTTTCATTTACATCTAAGGTAACATGGGAATGTAAGAGGCCGCTGGTGTATGGACTTGTGATGGCGGGGATTTATTTGTTTCCTAGAAAAGATAAGAAAATTGGTTTCAAAATCACTAAACTCCTGTCTGACTTGTTTTTTGGAATTAAGGATCGACAAGCCTCTATAGTACCGATTGTGTTAGCTGACATTTTTGTTGCGTGCACCAACTGCCAAAGGGGGTCAAAGTTCTTTTATGGATCAAATCGAATTTTGCATATATGGGCCATGGAACATTTTCGAAGACAGTTGCCTGCTCTTGATGGTCTACCATTGATTGGGTATAATTGGATCTCTACCCATCATAAGAGAGTTGACCAAAGTAATTTGCCAAGAAGTGCATCGGAATGGCTGGACTTTTTGAGGGTATTGTCAGATCAAAAGATTAGATGGGTACTAGACTGGACCGACTGTTTTAACCCTGTTCTGCGCGCCAAGTCATCAGATTTGATACCGTTATTGGGAACTCAAGGCATCATGGCATACACTCCGAAAAGGTTTCTCAGACAGTTAGGACGCATTCAAGGAGTACCACTCACACCTGACTTGACCGATTTCACCATCAGTTTTGGCAAGGGGACTGTCCAGACAAAATTCCGATGAAAGTATCAATTGTCGAAGCTTGGGAAACACTGTCCGATGATGAGGATATCGCTTATGTTCCGCAACTTAAACAAATGGCTTTGGTTACCCCTCAATACGAGGAGTGGCTCAGAGAATCTGGTGCTGGGCGACCATTGATGGAACAGTCCGAGGAAGTCAAGAAACTAATGGCAATCATTGAGGCGAAAGACACAGAAAATGCACAATTAAGACAATCTGTGAAAGTGAATAAGGGTCTAGCAGAGAAGAATAAAAGACTGTGTGAAGAAATGCAGAAAGACACCAGGAATTGAAGAGAAAGTGTGGCAGGTTGTATGATCAAACTGAACGCATGCAGAATCCTTATTCCAGAGAGCCAAAAGATGCTGTGATAGATAGATTGAAAAAGTTTAATGATCTTGTACGAAATCAACTTCGAGAAATGATGTAGATGATGTATGATATTTTGAAATCCATCAATGAAATGATCCTTATCTGTTGCAAAGTTATTTTTCGAAACACAGGTTTGATAAACAGGTCTCACTTCGAAGGTGTTGCATCATGTTAGGCCTACCCTTGGCAGAAAAGGGCTCCCCCATAGGACATGCATCCGAATTATTTAGATATCTACTAACTCATGTTTCTTTTCTTTTCTTTCTTTTTTCTTTTTCTTGAATAAATCACAGCAATTTGACAGAAAGTCCAACCCTAAATGAGTTTCTTTTCCCCCCTATCAGGTATTTTTCACAATTGCTATCCAAAGAAGCCCCATCATCACCAGATCCCGAAGTAGAGCCTTGAGACAGTCTGTAAACATGAGTTCAGCGCCTGAAGCTTCGGAAAGATCTGCTATGGTTACATCACCGGACTTCACAGCATTGGGAGCTCAGTTAAATGAGGTACTTGGCAAGTTCAATGAGTTAAGTGCTGAAATGGCCGCACAAAGGCGTGTAATTGATCAGCTGGTCGCTAGCAACAATGGTGGTGGGGTCCCAAACGACCAAGAACCTATCGATAATCACCCACCTGCACAAGACTATCAACCACCCCATACATCCAATACCCAAACACCTTTCTTTCCTCCTTGCGCTAACCCACTTGAAAATACCTTCACCCGACTAAATTCAGACTTTTCCTATATGCATCCGAATTATGTATTGGTGAACCCAACCAGTAGTCAAATCCCTCAAACCCATCCACAAACCAATCTGAACATTCCCCCCAACCCTCAGGGACCCCACCACCATACTGCAGAGCCTTTTGTACTGGATACTGGATCTCAAGGGAAGGCGGCGATGGAAGAACAACCTACACCCATTGATAAAGATTTGTTAAGAAGGTTGGACCGATTCGATGATTTTATGAGAAAGAATCAAGGGTTGAGCAGGCATGGTGGTTTGGACTACGATGAATTATGTCTTTTCCCAGATATTCAGCTACCGATGGGATTCAAAACCCCTAAATTCAGCAAGTATGATGGAACTGGAAATCCTAAGACGCACCTCAAGATGTTTGCCAACAAGTTAGGTAAACCTGTGGATGATGAGAATTTGCCTATGCGTCTATTTCCGGAAAGTTTGGAGGGAGATGCTCTAGATTGGTATTCAAATTTGAAGTCTGGAGAAGTCAAGACCTGGTTGGATCTATCAACTGCTTTTGTGAAACAGTATGAATTTAACTGTGAGTTGGCACCAACACGAACCACACTGGAGGGTACGAAAAGAAAGCCGTCAGAAGATCACAAGACCTACGCAAAACGGTGGAGAAAGTTAGCTGCCAAAGTGGAGCCTCCTATGACTGAGGAGGAGATTGTTCGCACTTTCATCAAGGCTCACGATCCACCCTATTTTGAAGAGATCTTCCGCATGACTGGAAGTCCATTTGCTGCTATCATTAACAAATTGGAGGAGTATGATGAATTTGTCAAGGCAGGGAAGATTGTTAATGTGTCTGCATTAAAGTTGCAATTGGATGCTCTACAAAATCAAAACAATAATGGGAAAAAGCCCCAGTTTAAGAAAAGAGAAGGTGATACTGCTTTTATATGGGATCAAGGCCCGTCTTTCAGACCCAGAAACCACCCACCTATCCTTTTCCTTACCCGTATTACACCAATCCTCATCCAGTCTACCACACCACTACCCAATTTCATCTCATCATGTTGCTGACATAGTCTCTGTAGGATGGGCATCTAGGGATAAGTCGTTCACTCAATCAAATTTGCCAGAGGCCAGTATTATGATGGCTAGGGAGATGATCCGAGGCGGATACGAAATAGGAAAAGGTCTTGGGAGGGAATTGTAAGGAATTTTGGAGCCAATAGAGATCCCGACGCAGAAGGATACATTTGGACTGGGATTTCATCCAACTGCTAAGGATAGAAAGGAAATGCAAGCTCGGAAACAAGCCGAAAAGAAGGGCAAGCAAACTGCCTTATATATCCCTCCGCTATATCACATTTTTCCTCGTCCATCGGAGGTGATTATGCCTGAAACGAAGAATCCTGTGGAGGAGATTGAAGTGGACCTGTCTCAGCTATTTGTCGGGGCTACTTGTGAGGAGGAGCCATCAGAGAATGCAGAATTTTTGCCAATTACCGAAGGAGCTATTCAGAACTGGACTGCTGATTATCTTCCCTCTCGAAGGGAATTTCGGTAAATTTAAGGGGATTGTCTTTTGTCTAGATCACATCCAGATAGGACAGTAGTCTGGATCTTTTGTTAAAAGAAATTGCTTTCATCTTTTAAACCTTTATTCTTGTTTCAGTTAATATAACTTGCTTTGTTCAAGAAAATTGCTGAAATGAAAATAAAGGTTTGAGTTAAATATGTCTTCAAATAGCAATCATGTCTGTATATCTATCTTTTTGTGAAGTCTCGATACATTTTGAACTTAATGAAATGAAAGGCTTCTCCAGTATTTGCTATTTGTTTATTACTTATGTTCTATTCTATTTTCAGATGGCCACAAATAAAATCTTTTGACCCTTTGGATGTCACCATTTTGGAATTCGATGGCTGCAATATCGATATCTCTCATGAGCTTGAAATCATGCAATCTGAAATTCAAAGCGAGAGCGATACCGAGGAAGAATTTGAGTCTATTTCAAGGGATTTAAAACAGTATGAAGAGAAACCCAAACCAACTTAGAAGAAACAGAAATCATCAATATTGGCACTAAGACGGAGGTTAAAGAAGTTAAAGTCAGCATTCATTTGAATAGGAAACAAAAGGAGGAAATGATTGAATTCTTAATATTTTTTTCAAGATGTGTTCGCATGGTCATACGATGATATGCCAGGGATCTCTACAGACATAGTGGTTCACAGGTTGCCAACCGATCCAAATTTTTTACCTGTAAAGCAGAAGCACGTAAATTCAAACCGAGAAATGAGTCTCCAAATAAAGGAACAAATTTGTGAAGCAGCTCAATGCTAAGATAATCATGGTGTCTCATTATCCCATCTGGTTGTTCGAATCCTGTGCCAGTGCCTAAGAAATCTGGGGAGGTGCGAGTATGTGTTGATTACAGAGATCTGAATAAGGCCAGTCCGAAAGACGATTTTCCTTTGGCCAAACATTCATATTCTTTTGGACAATACTGCTGGACACGAAATTGAATCTTTTGGTGATTGTTTTGCTGGGTATCATCAAATTTTAATGGCAGAAGAAGACAGAGAGAAAACCTCTTTTATCACTCCATGGGGAACTTTTTGTTATAGAGTGATGCCTTTCGGGTTGAAGAATGCTGGAGCCACTTATCAAAGGACATGACTACCTTGTTCCATGACATGATTCACAAAGAGATGGAAGTCTATGTGGATGATATCATAATTAAATCCAAGAAGGTTGAGGACCATCTGGTTGATTAAAGAAAGTTTGAAAGGTTGAGGAAGTATAATTGAAGTTGAACCCTGCAAAATGTGCTTTTGGAGCTCCGGCTGGTAAGTTATTGGGATTTTTGTCAGCAAGAAGGGTATAGAGATAGATCCTGCGAAAATAAAAGCAATTTCGAGATATGCCCATTCCGAAAAGTCAAAAAGATGTGAAAAGTTTTCTTGGAAAGATCAATTTCATTGGTCGATTCATTGCACAGTTAACCTCTACCTGTGAGCCTTTATTCAAATTGTTGAAAAAGAATGCGCCAATGGATTGGAATGAAGATTGTCAGCAGGCTTTTGATAAGATCAAGAATTATTTGTTAAATCCTCCGGTCTTAGTGCCACCTCAGCCAGGGAGACCTCTGATTATGTATTTGTCTGTTCTTGATGAGGCTGTCGGATGCGTTCTGGGACAGCATGATGAGTCTGGAAGAAAGGAGCAAGCCATCTACTATCTGAGCAAGAAATTTACAGCATATGAGGCCAACTATTCTTTCCTTGAGAGAAGTTGTTGTGCTTTAGCATGGGCAGCTCAGAAGTTGAGACATTATTTGCTCGGTTATACCACTTACCTGATTTCCCGTTCCGATCCTCTGAAATACCTGTTGGAAAAGTCGATGCCCACGGGACGTATGGCTAAGTGGCAAATGATCCTTTCCGAATTCGATATTGTCTTCACAACGCAAAAGGCAGTTAAGGGTCAAGTTATAGCAGATCATTTGGCGAAAATCCAAGAGATGATGATTACCAGCCATTGCATACCTACTTTCCTGATGAAGAAATTCTGTTCGTTGGAGCAGTTGAGAACATGAGTGAGCAGCATCCTGGATGGAGGTTATTTTTCGACGGTGCGTCAAACTCTTTTGGAGCTGGAATTGGAGCAGTTTTAGTGTCGCCTGAAGGGAAACATTATCCTGCTACTGCCAAATTACAGTTTCCGTGTACTAACAACATGGCTGAGTATGAAGCTTGTATTTTTGGATTGAAAATGGCATTGGACATGGAGATCAAGGATCTGATAGCATTCAGTGATTCTGATTTACTTGTGCACCAGACGCTTAAACAGTGGGTAACTCGGGATTCAAAAATTATGTTGTATCATTGTAACTTGCTTAGTTTGGCCAGCAAATTCAGGAATTT